TGGGCCAAAATTATCAGCTGGGCAGCTTTACTTAATGAGTGAGCTATGGTTTCATTAGTAAAACTTTTAGTGATCTTAGGCAAAATTAATTAATTCCGGCCCTGCCGATCATGATTCCGAAGTATTCCGACCCGTAATTTTGGGGATCCCCCTGTATGAGTTTGCTGGTAGGATCCTAACCCTTTTTTAATAAGATCACATAGTCGGCAAAATTTTTGAAGTGGTGATGCTAGCAAAAACATTGTTTCTGACCCACTTGGATCACGTTTCTGACCTTAAATTTCTGACCCAAAAAAAAAAATTATAAATTAGCCAATCGGAATAAAGAATTACTGTAGTATTAATAATATATTTACATCGAACTTACACCAACATTCCCAGTCTATAAATTAACCAATAAAAAAATATATTTACATCGAACTTACATTAACATATAAAAAGTGCTAACGCTAATGAAATCTTCTAAAAATAAATAAAACTCATACGCAGATGTATTCAAAGTAACTAAATATTAATTACGTTGATAAAAAAATGTTACTGAAATTTCAAGCTGTTAAATAATAACCATATACGTGTTACAATACAGAAAAACATTAATGAATCATAGACTAATTTAGCCAGTATCATTATTACTTAGTTGTAACAAAAAATAGCAATTTATAAACACAATTAATTTAATAATGTTTTTATTATTAAAGCATTATTATTACGTATAAGTGGTATTAGTATCGTGAAATAAAAGTTTCTATTACTTAAAAATAAATTAACAATAAGTATACAATACTGGTGGTATTTGACAATTTATAATCATGATTGGTAGGAAGTCATAGGCTGAGTTTTAATTTTATGTTTATATGAACGATACAATAATGTAATTATTAAATAATTATGATATAATAAAAACAAATTTGTGTAACAAATTGTGCAATTAATATATTCTCTAGAAACTATTACTATTACAGTATTTCTTTCATCTTTATTATGTCATCCCAACTTTTTTTAAAAGAAGGTGACAAAGTTTTCGTGCCTTTTGGACATGCTGTTGAAAAATATCTTAACGAATTTGATCATTTAAAAAAGACATGTTTGAAAAAGCAAAGCCGTAAAAATGTTAGCTGAGCTGTAAAAGAAGGGTTAATAACAGTGCGTAGAGTAGAAGGAGCAATAGATTATATTGGATGGATGACTAAAGATGGATACTTAAAATCAACAAACCATTTAGATGATATTCTTGAATTGACTGAGAAAGGCAATGAATGTATTTCTAATATTCAAAATGGAAATGCACATGATATTTGTGTATAGTATTGGACTCTCTTTTGTGCTGATGATGGTAACTGTCAAAGAGAATGTGGCGGATTAGGAGAATGTAAAGAGAATTGTTCAAATTTTAAACTTAAAAACAATGTTTCTAATGAATTTGATATGCATAAGTGTTCAGTTCGTGTAATTACAAAGGTTATGTTATCGCAAATTAAAACTGAATTTCTAATGCAAGTTATTCTCTCGGGCTCTCACATATCTAGTATTCTAATTCCACACATTTCAACTATAAATCGAATTAATTTAAACTATGAGACACGTGATATTGTTATTCATGGACGACATGAAAGTAATATGACAACAACGCAAATTATGCGTAACTTGCTTGCCCCCACTAATAATGCACCTAAAAATGAATTAAAGGAAATATTGGATAACAAAAAATTCGCATGTAATGAAACAAAAATTCGTCATTTGTTAGAACGTGATACTCGTCGCCTTAGAGATAATATTGGTCCATGGACTCGACTTCATCAACTTGTAACTAATGAGTTAAAAAATAAGAGGGTTGTTTTATATTATCAACAACCAGATTCTGAAATGCAGGAAAATGATTATAAGCATTATTATCAGCTTACCTTAAGTGATGAAATATGGTTGCAGCAGGCTCGAGATTGTAGTTCATTTTGCTTTGGTATAAATGGAAAGTATGATTTAAATAATGACCGTGCACCAATTCTAGTTCTTACAGTTGAGGATCAAGCTGGTTATGGTTCACCAATAGCAATTGGACTTTCAAATAAAGAAAATAAATTTACAATTCATATTGCTATTGAAACTGTTCAAAAAAATATATCATGTACTCAATTAGAATGCCTACATTCTTTTTATTATGTTAATTTGCCTAATAGTAAAGGATTTTAACGTATTCGACAATGTAATTCTAATTGGAATCCATATGCAATGATAGATAAGCATCAACCTTCAAAAGCTGCTTTAGAACCAATACTTCGAGATGTAATTTTGTGTTGGTTTTATATAATGAAAACATTTGGAGAACATTTGCAAAATTTAAAGGTAGAGCAATCATTATGATATCCAATTGCCATTGCATTTAAAATTATAGGGCGGAGTCGAAGCAAAAATGAAGCACTTGAATTGGCAAAAATGTATAATGAATTTATTTTAATGTTACCATTGGAAGATCATATAAAAGAATGTCTTCAAAAAGATTTGGCATTAAACTGAATATGTGATGAATGGTGTATGAGCTTTATTGATGGTGGATGCCTTCCTTATGAATCTGATAATCCATGTTCAAAACCTTTAACTACCAATAATTTTACTGAACGAATGAATAAATCATTAGAAAATCAACATGGCAATACAAAAACAGTAGCAGATTTTGTTGAAAATCTTTATAGTATTCAAAAAATACATTCTACACTATCTGAAAAGAATTCAGGTCAATTAAATTTTCATACTGGTCTTGTAACATATTGGAATACTTGTACACTAGATCATGAAAATGAAGAGTATCACTTTGCAATTGACAAGAAACGACGATTAAATCAGGGGAGATATTATGTACTTTGTGGATGGATTAAAAATATTGAAAATTCTAATTATTTTTATGTTAAGAAAGGAAATAACTCATTTCGTTCACTATATAATTCAGCACCAATAAAAATTAATCGTGAAATTCAATTAGAAATTGATAAAATAGTTGGAAAACTTGCTTCAAAGCATAATATAGAAATTCCATCACAATATTATTTAGTTAATATTCAATCTGAAGAGTGTACGTGCTTAGATTTTATTTGGAATAATTCATTTCATGATGTCTGTAAGCATTGTCATGCTGCTCGTCTCTTTTGATCAATTCAAGAAAAAACTGAAAGTTTAGCAACAATAAAATCAAATTTTATTCAATACTTCTGGAATAAAGAAAAGGCACTTCCAGCAAATGCAAAAAATTATATTATTTATAGTGGAGTAGAAGATGAAGCATTTCAAGAAATTGTTAGCCTTTATAATGAAGTAGGAGATGCTATTTTTTATCCATATAAGCGGCAATTAGCAGAAAAAGATCCTTTTAGACCACTTGAATTATCTGAGTGCAATACTATGACATATGGATCTCCCAAAATACATGGAGCAAAAAAATGCAGCCCAAGTCGTTTTGTAACTGATATAACCAATAATATTATAAATAAAAATCTGGTAATTATATAGTACAAATTACTCTCGTTATAGTGAAGTAGTTAGGCTGAGAATACTATATAAATATTATCATATCGAGTGAAGAGTTAATAATAATGGCAATAAATTTAAAAAAAATTCTTCACTATATCAAAATTTTTACTATATCGAGAGTTCACTATAACGAGAGTTAATTTTTTATTTTAAATATAACTAATTAATAAATTTTTAAATTATAAAGAAAGTTAATTCTACAAGTGGGCTTTCAACAATATCAGCACCAATAGTCGATACTGCATTACTCTCTAAAAATATTCAACATCAACACCAATAATCGATCCTACGTTGCTCTCTGAAGCTTATCCGATATTAGAAATGCATTTAGAACATTATGAGGAGAATTTTAATAGTTTAAATAAACAGCAAATACAGAAAGAGATTCTACCACTTCAAGAAAAATATGTACATTCAAATACTTCAAATTCTCAAACTATTCAAGCAACACTTCCTCATTCTATTCAACGTAGAAATACTACAAGAATTCGTAATCTAAAACGTGATATACAAAAGGTATGAAAATATTAATGTTTAGATACATAAATTGTATCTTTTAACTAATAATAATTTTTTAATAAGAATATAGAAAATATCAATTTAGTGAATTTGCCTCAAAAACATAAGCATGTAAATGATACTCAAGAAACATTAGAGGCAATATTTCTTGAGCAAGGCATAACTTGGAAACCACGTGCATTTACTAATTTCTGCATTAGCAAGAATATTCATTTAGCTAATAATCCTGTAGTAAATGATAGGCTAATTTATAGTTGGATTAGTAGACGTAAATATAAAGCAAAGCGAGAAAAAAAAGAACAAGAAGAAGAATTAGATAAACAAATATAATACATCAATTATAGTTATATTATAGTTATAATAAAGAGCTGATATAAAGTTGCATTTTACTTATTTACACATCTTTAATTAATGATCTTTTGCTTACTCTAGTGCTAAAAAATCAATTTAATTAAATTTATTCCTATATAGCTCCAATACGATCAATTAATAAAAATTGTACCCAATTAATGATGAAATATTGTGCTTTGCAAAAAAGATGTAAATCTGCTGTCATGAGAAAAACAGAGATTCTTTATATAAACAATTAAAAATTTCAAAGATTATAAAAATTACAATTAATTGACAATATGTAGGTTCGGTACATTAGACTCTAATTGCAACACTATTTTTTATTACTAAGATATATTCAATATGAAAATGCGATTTTCTTTTCGAAGTATGCATTTATTCTTTTCTGGAATTGCAAAGATTAAAACTATATAAAAACAATTACACCCAAACCCGTATTAGTAAAAGGAATGCAAGTTAGAATTATATTTTGAAATAAATAAAAAGTTAAAGCATACACATACTTTATGTTTTGATATTTTCAGCTTGAAATTTCAGTAACATTTTTTTATTAACATAATTAATATTTAGTTACTTTGAATACATTTACATATAAGTTTTATTTATTTTTAGAGGATTTCATTAGTGTTAGCACTTTTTATATGTTAATGTAAGTTTGATGTAAATATATTTTTTATTGGTTAATTTATAAACTGGGAATGTTGGTGTAAGTTTGATATAAATATATTATTAATACTATAGTAATTCTTTATTCCGATTGGCTAATTTATAATATTTTTTTTGGGTCAAAAATTTAAGGTCAGAAATGTGATCCAAGTGGGTCAGAAACAATGTTTTTGCATGATGCTAAACTTTTATTTTAGGATCGACTGTCCTCATTATACAGACTGCAGATCACTTCTGAAATCATTCAGTCAATCAAGATTTAATATCATATATCAATCAGCCAATTACAGTTAACAAAAAAAATTTTTTATACATTTTTTGTACTTTTTTAAAAGGCTCAAATACCTTATTTATTTTATAAAACATGATTAAATACTAAGCAAACTTAAAGTTTTCATGCTGTATTTTTGTAATATTAGTTTAATCTACCTGAATTTATCAACTTTTATATTAAAATTTACTTAGTAAAAACATGTTTAAGTATATTATATATTCAGTTACTAAGTTATTCAGATTCCATTCATTGAATAAAAAAAGTAAAAAGAAGTTAAAAATAATAGTTTAGTAAAGACAACTTGAAAGAAAGGTATCATTTTATATAATTGTTATTATATAAATTTTATAAAAAAAACAAAATAATTTAGTAAAATAAATGAATTATTAATCTTTAAATAACAGATTTAATATTTAAATCTTATAGATAATGAAATTTAGGAAATTATATTTGTATTATGATAATTGATTTTTGATAATTAGATTATAAAAGATAATTTGTAATTCTAGATTATTATCTCAAATAGAAGCCCAGAATATCTATATAAAATGTAATATTATATATATATATATATAAAAATATTAAAAATTAATATTATATAAAAAGATATTACAAATTTTTAACAATATTATTGAACTAATAAATATTTAAGAAGAGGTGTGGTGACTTAGTGAAGTAGTCAGATTGTCAACCTCCAAGTAATAGGTTAGATGTTCAAATCTTATTAATAATAAAAATTTAGATAATTACCTATATAATATTTATATTATAGTAATTATTACTAATAATTAGATTAGGATATCTGTAATAGCAGTTGCATTAGTATAACTAGCAGATTATAAGTCATCTGTGCAATGTTAGAGTTACATAAAGAAATACAAACTAACAACTAAGTGATATAAACACTAAATAAGTTCTTGTAGTTATGTAAATTTATTAAAATTAGATAACAAGAAGTTTATTTAAAAAGATCTAAATAAAAAAACTTAGTCAGATCTTTGATGATGCTACTGTAAAGGCTAGCTCAAAAAAATAAATATTTAGGTCTTAGTAACCAGATGAATAAGAACTTCTGAATTGAGAATCTTAGAGATATTACTAACTAGGTTGCTAAAATAAACTAAAAGAAAAGAATATTGAGCTGATCTAATATACTGATGAACTAATCATAGTTCTATAAGAACTATCTAGATTAGAAGTTTGGTAAAATTTAGTAGCATACTAAAGTATCAGAGTTATGTTATAAAGTAGATGCTAAGATCTAAGTAAACTTTACAAAAGCATAGTAGTTTAATAATTAAGTCCTAACTGTAAATATTAGTTCTGCTATAGTAATACCTAAATCAGTTATAAAAATAGATATATAAGGCTCTAGAAGGTTTATCTTGAAGATAAATTAGTCTTAAAGTTAAGATAATAATCTGAGCATTTGAGTATGATCTAGTAAGTTAACATAGATATAGGTTCAGAAGGTTTAAAATAAAACATCCAAGCAGAGGTATTAAGTATAACAATTGGTAAGGAATCTTCAAGCAGACTTCTTAAATAGGTAATATAGAAAAGTTACATGTATAGCCAATTATATACTCTTCTGTAGTAGTTCATTAAATCACAATACTAATAAATAATTAATAAAAGTCAAGACCAAAAAGGTCATCTTAAAAAAAAACTAAATAAAAAAATAAATAAATATTTAAAATAATTTTAATAAGGTATAGTAATTTAGTAAAGTGATCAAATTGTTAACTCTTCAAGTAGTAGATTAGATGTTTAAATCTCATTAACAGCAAAATTTGGATAATTACCTATGTAATATTTGTATTATAGCAATTGTTACTAATGATTAGATTAGGATATCTGTAATAGTAATCATATTAGTATAATTAATAGATTATAAGGCATTTGTGTAACTTGTTATACAGAAAAATGCAAACTAACAAATCAGGCAGTGCAAACATTAGATAAGTTCTTATAGCCATATAAATTTATTAAAATTGGATAATAAAAAGTTTATTTGAGAAGATCTAAGTAAAGAAATAGCTAGATCTTTAACAGTTTTACTGTAAAGACTAGTTTAAGAAAACAGATACCAAAATCATAGTACCTGGTTATAGTAGTCAGATAGGCAAGAACCTTTAAGTTAAGAATCTTAGAGGTATCACTAACTAGGCTGCCAGAATAAACTGAAGAAAAAAAATATTAAACTAATCTAATATACTGATAGACTAGTTATAGTACTATATAAGTTATCTGGATTAGAAGTTTGATGAAAAGGCTAGACAAAAGGCAGAAGTATATTAAAGTATTAGGATTATACTATAAAATAGATGCTGGAGTCTGTGTAAACTCTATAAGAACATAGCAGTTTAATAGTTAAGCTTTGATCACAAGTGTTGGTTCTGTTATAGCAATATCTAAATTAGTTGTAAAAATAGATACAGAAGGCTCTGAAGGGTTTATCTTAAAAATAAATTAGTCTTAAAATTAAGAAGATGATTTAGACATTTGGGTATAACCCAGTAAGTTAATGTAATTTATAGATTTAAAGGATTTAAAGTAGAATATCCAAGCAAGAGTGTTAAGTATAACAATTAGTAGGAAACTTTAAACAGACTTCTTAAATAGGTAATATAAAAAAGTCATATATGTAACCAGTTGTACTCTCTTCTGTAATAGTTCATAGAATTACATTACTAATAAGTCATTAATAAAAGTCAAAAGACCAAAAAGGTTACCTTAACACCAAAAAAAAAAATTTTTAAATAACAAATATATATAGAAGAATATATAATTAACTAATGTTGTTAAAAACTTATTAGAAAAAAAAGATTCTTATTATATATCAAAAGCTTAGTTACAAGTCTACTAGCTATTTGAATTAGTAATTTGAAGAATTAATAAAAAAAGATGTTAAAAAAATAGATACTAAAATTTTAATAAACTTTATAAAAGTATAGTAATTTAATAATTAGTTTTAATTGCAAGTGCTAGTCTAAATTAAAGCAGTATTAGATTAGCTATCAATATAAAATATAAAAGTTTTTAGTAAGTTTAATATAAAATTAAATAAAACTTAGTAATTATAGCATATTTGTATTTTGACTAAGGCAGTTAGTAAGGTAAATAAATAATAAATATAAAAACTAAAGTATTTAAATAAAGAATCTACAAATAGATTCTAAATATAATAACTAATATAAAATTTTTAAACAGACTATTTAAATTAGACAATAACTAAAATTATTTAAGTAACTAATTATATATATTTTTATAATTACTCTTGTATTTGTTATACAAATAGTTTTAATTAAAACATATTATTAATAAATTTTTTTTTTTTTTTTTTTTGATATTAAGATGACCTCTTTGGTCTTTTGACTTTTATTAATCACTTATCGGTATTGTGGTTCAATGA